AAAAATATTTTAATAAAAGGTAATATTCCTCTAATATTCTTTTTTCATTTTATTCCTTTTGGTTTCTTGCTCATGACTTTTTTATTTACCAGTGTAATTTATTTTTCATGTGTTTTTTGGATTAAATAAATAAGTTTCATCTGCTTTAGTATTTTTAATAATTCCATCCGACATTGGGAGATTCAATATAGACGTCACTTTGACGTTAGGTAGACTCGTGATAATGACGTCAATTTGCCTAGCCTAGGACACCCGACATACTCGTTACTTTAACGTGATATCGATTTGTCAAATTACTGTTATTGTGTTCAATACAATTATAAATATAATATTGATTATTTATCGGGCGCAGAAGAAATAGCGTATGCAACTCTCACGTAATGGTTATTACATGATCGTTGAATAATATACTATTAAAAGTAACAAATTATAACTTGTCATTAAATACTTTAAAAATAAACGCCAGAAAAATAGACTTACCAATAAGTAACATAATATTCCCCGCCGTTTGCAACAGCTTGACAAAGAATAAACAAGAATCCCAGAAATAATATCGTCATTATTCCACCTCCAGCTCTTAAATACTGGTAATAAGTAGTTGCTTTTATTGTTCCCTTTTCTTGCATTTCTTTTTCTATAATTTGATCTTCTTCGTCTTCTATTGAATCATCGTAAATTGACGTTTTTGACTTAATTGACTTAATTCGTTTCTCTTCATCATCTTCTTGCTGAGATTCTGCCATAATTTTAGCAAAATCTAGACCACTTTTCTTTAGTTCCGTATAACTTCCGGTCATTTCTATTCTACCGTCTTTCATGATTATGATCTGGCCAGCACTTTTGAGATATTGCAGTTGATGGGTTACTAATATACATATTTTGTTAGATAAAAATTGTTTAATGCATTTGTCATACAGATGTTTGCCAACATTGGCGTCTACTGCTGATAAGGGGTCATCTAAAAGATAAATATCTGCCTGTTTATAAACACATCTAGCTAGATTTACTCTAGCTTTTTGACCACCGCTTAGAGCTTTTCCTTTTTCACCAACTAAAGTTTTGTCGCCGTACGGTAGTAAAGCAAAGTCTGATTTTAAGGCACAAACTTCGACCACTTTTTGATACCGCTCTTCATTGTAAGCTTCACCGAATAAAATATTTTGTTTTACACTAGCTGCGAATAACCAAGCTTCTTGAGATGCGTAAGATATTTTGCCTTCTACCTCCATTTTACCTGATTTTACTGGCAGTTCTTTTAGAAGTAAATTAATAATACTACTTTTCCCACTGCCCACTGGTCCGATGATGGCTAATACCTTATTTGACGAAACATTAATACTTATATCTGATAAAGTTATCATCAGTTTTATCTTCTTGCCATTTTGCGGAAACTCCTGACAAAATAACTTTTGGATTTATAATCTTAGGTTGCATCTCTATACTAGGTATTTTATTTCCATTCATTCCATTTTTAATACCATCAAATTTTAAACAATTTCCATTTAATATATTTTCAGGTTCATCCTGTTCTTTTTCTTCGAAAACTAATAACTCCTGTATTCTCAAAATAGAAACGTTAGTTTCTGCGAATGCTGAGATACTTAGAGAGAATATTATTGTAATAACTGTTCTCATTTGGTTGTAAATAGCAGTAACGGCAAATACTTTGTCAGCAGATATATCGTTGCCTAAAAGAACGAAGCCTAAGATACTTACAAAGATGGCGGTTCTTGAAACGAATACTTCAAAGGAATACAAAATTCCAAGAAGACATGAGTGAGATCGGATTGCTTTCATTTCTGATCTGTAAGTAAAACATAAAATGAAATAAAAGTAGCTCAATATTGGTTGTGAGAATGTAATTCCTTAAAATTAAACTCATCAAGAAATGGACATAGAACAACTGAATATTTTCTGATTTAAAAATTGATGATTAAGCGAAATATGCTTAGGTAAAATATTACTGGTTTCGGAAATAAAAGTTGAAAATTAAAAAAATTATTATTAGTTTTAATTTTTTTATTCTTAATACAATTTTACTACATTCGATAAAAAATGTATCAGCAAAACAATCAGTTAAATAAACTTTACCAGTGGCGTACGGCACATATTCGCTCGGGGCGCGACAGCAGCGCCAATTCGTTTTTGGTACTAATGGACTATTTCTGCGTATACTGACAAATACAATTTTTAATAGAATTCGTAATTAAAAAGTATATATGTTAGTTTTAATAAAAGTATATGGATTTGTAAAACAAGTAAAACATTAATTTATTATTATTATATATTTTTATCGCTTAAATTAAAGAAAATGATGTATAATCAATTAAAATCGATAATTAAATATAGACAGGCAACAGTATTTACTGGAAAATGTATGAGAAGTTGCCTAAGTCTAATAAGTTGTCATTGAAGAATTAGCCTATTCTGTCAAATAAAAAAAATACCATTTAATAATAGTGTGAAGTTAAAATGTATAAAAAATGATCGTTATTTATAT